TCAACCGCTTGATAAGGCCAAACAGTTTATTAGTTGCAGCCCCGAATGGGTCCATCCTCGATGAAATCAAACAGAAGCTTGACTTTGAAAAACAAGTCTTCTGGACCTTGAGATGTTCTGCTTGAGATGCCTGGCCTTGGAGGCTGTCCATGCTCCCCGACCAGTTGACTCTGGCGTTGTCCGACTAAGTGGAACCTCATCTACAGCGTCACTAAGCAACAAGGAGGCGTGAGGAAAAACTGGGCTTCATTGAATCCCCAACTTTTGCCATTTTTACGGAAAATCGGTACGAAAGAGATTTATCCATCAACCTCACAGTGAGACAATGGAGGATGGTTTTGTGATGTTGGTTTTGGCTCACTAAATCATCCGGGCATCCTCCTGCGATTCCAGTCTGTCTGTGCTGATCTTGCGCCAATCCCACCGTGGCAAGCATCGTCAGTGGCAAAAAGCATCTTGAAGAAAAAATAACCGAACCTTAAGCCAAGAATGGCGGACTAATGGAAGTTTATCCAGTCATTATTATCCACTTTTGTCATCTTATTGCGGCATCACTTGATTTGGTTGGCTCTTTCTTGCCTCTTCTTTCATGCTTTTTGATGCAACTACGGCCGAAACATCCATTTCATTTTCTTCCTTCCTGTTTGGCAACACTGCAATTGCAGACACTAATGGGCAGAATATACGAGGTTACTAAACTTACTATGTATATTGAAAATTATAGCAAGTTACCATTCATAGCTGTGTCAGTTACCAAGGGAGCAAGTAAATTAGATCAAGATTTGGTTAGGACGCCCACATAATGGGTTTCCTTTTAATTGCTGTTATATTCATGTTTTAGAGTCAAACTAGAGCTTATTGGATCTAGGGTAGCAATAAGGCTATAGCTAACAGATTATCTGAAAATATTAAGAAATATGGCGAAGAGAGACGGCTATTTGGGACGAGAAAGGGCGTTGGGCAACCCTAGTTGATTCCTCATGTTACCATCTTTTGTCAGCCTCCGGAAAAGGAAAAAAAAACAACAGAAACGGCGGTACATTTGGTCCAGATGCGAAGAGAGACTAACACCCACCTCAGTTATTTGAAGAGGGAACCTCATGCAAAGGTCAAATAGGTACAGAAACCGAAGGTAGCTGAACATGTGGCCAGTGCAGGACATTAGATGGAGGGGCCGAGAAGCCAAATATTTTGCAGGATATTCACGCCTCATGGACAGAAGATATGGAAGTAAACGAAAATCAGCACAACAAAAATCCACTTGAAGGGAAGGAATAAGTGTCGGAAATTAGTAGTTAAGGAATTGGCAGCATTTGAAGTAAATAATCCTGGAATGTTGCTAGGCTGTATCGAGTAGTGTTGTCTTCATAAATTGTTGTGCTGCTGTATAACTTCAACTTCACCCAAAAGTGTGTAGAGTAAGCATGAAGTAGCCAACAAAATCATGGTATGCCTTATTATGATTACAAAATTGAATATGACAAGTGAGTTGTTCTGCAGCCGGGCACCCAGTTCCTCTTGGTTTAGCGAATTGGTGCGGGTTTTCCTGAAATGTCTTCTACCAAATGACAGAAGAAGGCTCAGCGCAGGTTGACTGGGGTCGCAGGACGGTGAATTGTGCAATCCAACGGCCAACGTTTTCCTTCAAAATGGAAAGTCGGATCATGCAAAATCACTGAATGACTCCTTGAAACCCAGTTTTTCCTCATGTCTACGAAGCCTTATGCACCTCGTCGACGACATCCTGCATCGTATGGTTCTCGTTCCGGCCGATCGGAAGGTGATTTCGAGGCCGCTGTCGCTTCCGAAACCAAGGGCTCCGTGAGACCAGCACTCTGCAGCGACACTTGTAGGTATGCTATCGTGTGACCGAGGCCTGTGACTCTCTCCTCCATCCCCCCACCCCGGTTCCACTTGTTCAGGAGCAGGACACCGACGGCCTCTTCACCGGCCATTGGCCCACCGTCAGCCATCCCTTCACCGGCACCAACACTCCCTCGGCCGGAGTGCCCAATCCGTCCTCGGTGATGTTCGACGATGTCAAGTCGCCCGTCGGCGAGTTCGCCAAGGAGGAGCTCTGCACCGAGGAGTTCATGATCGACGGAAAGCGCTACAGACAGACCTACCGACGACGCATCGTCTTGGAGAGACGCAAGACTCGAGAGGTGAGTGCTCTTTCTCTTCCGCCCAACGGGGCTTTACCTTCCATCCCCTACAGGATCGCGATTGCAGCCGCAACTCGCGTTTTCATGCCAGCACCATTCAACTTTTGGAAGAAGCTTCTTCTGGGAACAGCCAATTAGTTGTCTCTTTCAGTGCCGACTGGCCACCCTCCGGTTGACAACAGTCACGAGTTTTCGTTTGTAGGCAGATTTCAAGACTATTACTATATATGGAGATCAAGATGTTGTGGCCTCTGGTGTGGTCGCAGTCTCTTTTCGATTGATAGAAGTGGGTTGACCTCGTTGTC